CCCAGATCTCCGACTGGCACGGTGGAGGCGTTGACTCAAGAATGTGCCGAGGAGACTCCAGACCCTGGGAGATTCCTTGGAGTTCCACCGGCTTCCATACCTTGGATTCCTTATCCAATGGCCCCTTATCCAATGCGCACACCGTACAGACAGCCCCCTCGGGTAGTCCCGGTTGGCCTTAACAGGCGCCCCGAGTAGTTCCAGCTGGCCTCGTCAGGTCCCACGATCAGTCTGGGGCAGTCTCAACACCCTGGCGCCGCCTCAGGCGGCACCCCTACGGCGCTCTGCTCCCCAGGGTTGAGGTGCCGAGACCGCCCAGACTATTCGGAGGGCCTGTTGAGGCCAACTGAGACTACTCGGGGGACGTGTTGAGGCCAGCCGGGACTACCTGGTGAGCTGTTCGTGCGTAGCCCGAGGCCCTACTATCTCCGACGATCATATTGCCAGCCATCCTCTGGTGTTTGGTCCTCGTTTTGAGAGACAGCGCCCCGCGTCCCTTCTCCTTCCTCCTCCCTATCATCCCTCCTCCCATCCCTGCCTCTGCCCTCCGCACCAGTCACCCATTTCGGCACACCCCTCCCTCACACATTTCGTGGCCCCATAGGGAGCTCCACCGACGGCCCCAGTGGCTGCGTTCGCACGCGCCCACCGCACCCATGTCGGCACACCCCTCGCACGTCCCGTAGCCCCGTAGGATATTCCACTTGAGGCCGAAAGGGGCTGCGTTCGTATGCGCCCACCGCACCCATGTCGACACACCGCTCAACACGTGGCGCGGCACCACAGGGATCTTCACCGAGGGCCCCAGTGGCTGCGTTCGCATGCGCCCACCGCACCATATCGGCACACCCCTCACACGTTTCGTGGCCCCACCGGGAGCTCCACCGGAGGTCCCAGTGGCTACGTTCGCATGCTCCCACCGCACCCATGTCGGCATATCCCGCACGCGTCGTGGCCCCGTAGGGCGCTCCATCCAAGGCCCCAGTGGCTGCGTTCGCATGCGCCCACCGCACCCATGTCAGCACACCACTCATACGTTTTAGGACATCACATGGAGCTCGACTGGAGGCCCCAGCGGTTGCGTTCGCATGCGCCCACCGCCCCCACTTCGGAACACCCCTCACACGCTTCGTAGCCCCATAGGGAGCTCCCCCGAAAGCCCGCTGGCTGCGTTCGCAAGCGCCTACCGCACTCATTCTGGCACACCCCTCAAACATTTCGCAGCCCCATAGGGTACTCCACCGACGGCAGCAGTGGTTGTGTTCGCACGCGCCCACCCCACCAATTCCTGCATACGGCTCAACATTTGGCGTGGCACCACAGGGGACGCCATCGAAGGCCCCTATTGGCGGTGTTCGCATGCGCCCGCCCCGCCTATTTCGGCACACCCCTCACTCGTCTCGTGGCCCCAAAGTGGGCGCCACCGAAGGCGTCAGTGGCTGTGTTTGCATGCGTCCGCCCCGCCCATTTTGGTGCATCACTAACGCGCGTCGCGGACCCATGGGAGCTCCACCAGAGGCCCAAGTGGCTGCATTCGCATGCGTCCGCCCTAACCCATTCCAGCATGCCCGTCACACGGTTCGTGGCCCCATAGGGAGACCCACCGAAGGCCCCAGCGGCTGCGCTCGCGTGCGCTCACCGCGCCCATTTGGGTACATTCCTCACAAGTTTCGTGGCCACACAGGGAGCTCCACCGATTCGTGGCCCCATATGGAGCTCCACCGAAGGCCCGAGTGCTGCATTCGCATGCGCCCACCACACCCATGTCGGCACACCACTCACACCTTTCGTGGCACCGTAGGTACTCCACCTGATGCCCCAGGGGCTGCGTTCGCATGCGCCCATCGCACCCATGTCGACACACCGCTAAACACGTAGCGTGGCCCCATAGGGAGCTCCACCGAAGGCCCCAGTGGCTGCGTTCGCACGCGCCCACCGCACCTGTTCTGGCACACCACTCACACGTTTCGTGGCTCCGCAGGGAGCTCCACCGGAGGCTCCAGTGGCTGCGTTCGCACGCGTCCACCGTGCCCATTTCGGCACACCCCTCGCAGGTTTCGTGCCCCCACCGGCAGCTCCACCGATGGCCCCAATGGTTGCGTTCGCATGCGCCCATCGCACCAATTGCTGCAAACCCCTCACACGCTTCGTGGTCCATTAGGGAGCTCCACCGGAGGCCCCATTGGCTGTGTTCAAATGCGCCCACTGCAGCCATCGTTCGCATGCGCCCTTCGCGCCCATTCCGGCGCACCCCTCACACGTTTCATGGCATGCGCCCAACGCACTCATTTTGGCACACTCCTCACCGGTTTCGTGGCTCCCAAAGGGGCGCCACTGAAGGCCCCAGGCTGGCGGCATTCGCATGCGCCCGCCCCGCATATTCCGGTACACACCTCACACGTGTGGGTCCATAGGGAGCACCACCGAAGGCCCCAGTGGCGGTGTTCGCATGCGCCAGCCCTAATTTTCCATTTCGGCTCATCAGTGGCACGTCTCGTGGTCCCATAGGGAGCGCCACCGAAGGCCCAGTAGCATTGTTCGCATGCGTCCGCCCCGACCGTTTCTGTACATCCCTCACACGTATCGCGGCTCCAGCTCCACCGAAGGCCCCCGTAGCAGTGTTCGCATGCGTCCGCCCCATCCATCTCTGCATACGCCTCACACGTTTCGTGGCCCCAAAGGAGCTCCACCGAAGGCCCCAGTGGATGCATTCGCATGCGCCCACCGCCCAAATTTCGGCACATCCTTCATACGTTCCGTGGCCCCACAAGGAGCACACCGAAGACGATTTCCACAACTGCATTAGTCACAGCCGCACATGGTCGAGTCCTTCGCCAGGCTAACTTTTCAATCGCTGCGTTTTTCCTCGATTCTCGGGGGCCGTAGTTTTGGGTCCCCGGGGCCATCAAACATTGATCCGGGACGAAACATTGCCTGAGAAAAAAGGTCGGGACCTCATTGGGGCCGCGCATTGAGAGCGTCATATCGTCGGATGTCTGGGGGGCCGAAGGGGGAAGTCGCGCGGGCCCAGGACAGGGATAAATCGTTCCAGATTGCTCTGGGACGGCTGCGGCGCCCGCTACATCCTCCAGGAGAGCGTTTTTGTTCAACTCCCGTGCGATCGCGGGCGTTACTGGGGGGGAGAGGGGTGCGGATCGTCACGTTTCGCGCCGGCACCGTCTGGGAATATTTCGCAATGATACTCAGAGCGAAATCGGAGGTCAGCACGAACCGTGACGTTGCGTGGGGGGGAGGGGGGCGGCCGAGGCCGAGAAGGGCCGCTATCGCGAAGCATGAGAGGTACGCTCTCCAGAACCGCCGGATCACAGAAGGACCCTTGCCCTGCCCCGGTCCGATGTTGCCCCAGTCCTTGGGCCCGTCTTAGGAGAAGGGGTACGGCAGGGTCAATGGTAAGGGGGGGGGTAAGTGCAGGGGCGGATGCATCGACCCCCAATCGCCCATTGGTCGCCGATATGGGCGCTAAAGCCCACCCCGCCTAGGACCCTGCCGTTTCGCTACGCCCTGCTCCTAAAGGGCGTGCATGCGGGCCGGCGGGCAGACTTTCGTGTCTTGCGTATTGCGTTTCTATGTTTGTTGTTGTTGTTCTTGTTATCTATCTCTCTCCCTCTCTCTTGCTCTCTTGTGTATTGTCTCTCTCTCTCTCTCTCTCTCGCCCTTTCTTCCTCTCTCTTCTTCGGTTTCTCTTGGGCGCACGCCACCACCCGAGCACTGGACGCACGCAGCATGTCCACTCTCCACGACGGTACGCGCGTCTCGCCCCGTGCGTCGCCCAGCAGGCGCCCTGATCTTCGGGCCAGCCCCCAGATCTGGGTCGGGGACCCTCTTCGGGGCCGCGGCTCGCCATGGCCAGGCAAGCCATTTCGTTTCTCCTTCCGCGTGTCCCCGTTGCAGCACGGTTCGGGTATAGCCAGGACCCCAGGTGAGGGGACCCGCTTAGTAGTAGGGCCCCGGAGCCCCTACATTGGCCAGAATCACCAAACCAGGTCTGCCGTAGCTGGTGCTTTTCGGGCGACGGCAGTTCCGGTTCGTGGAACGGGGCGGGGGGGGCGTCCCCCAGCGCACATCTCTAAACCGGGTCCCACTAAGCCCAGTTCTGCCAACGCCCGAACGGTGGCTCACCGTCAGGAGTAGGAGGAGGAGGAGGAGGAGGAGGAGGAGGATGTGAAGGGAGGTTATGGAGGAGCGAGGGGAGGGAACAGGGGGAGGAGGAGGAGGAGGAGGAGGAGGAGGAGGAGAGGAGGAGGAGGAGGAGGAGACACGGCCCCGCCGTCGAAGATCGCGACCCCAGAAAAAGCCACGAGGGGGCCCGCAGCAGGCCAGAGAGGCCACGGGCCACGGCCACGGGACACCGGGTCGGCCACGACGCCGCCGCACGCCCACGGCCGACGCCGCCTGGGCCCACGAGGGGCCGCCGGCCACCGGCCACTGGATCGGCTCCTCTCCTCCGGTCCCCTCTTCATCGGGCTGACCCCCCCCCCCTGCTCCACGTCTTCCTCCTCCCCCCTCCCTCCTCCTCCTCCTCCTCCTCCTCCTCCTCCTCCTCCCCCTCCTCCTCCTCCTCTTCCTCCTCCCCCTCCTCCTGCTCCTGGTCTGCGGCCTCCACGCCCAAAGGGCTCCTGGGGAAGAATTTGATCCGAATCAGTCGTGGGCCACGCCCCAGCCATACGGGCCCCCCCAAGCAAGTCGCTTCAGCCAGTAAGGCCCAGCTTTCAGGCTTGGGGGATGGTCCCAGCGGGGTGGCCTAGTGGCAGCGGGACAATGCGTCACCTCTAGTACGCCCCGCGCACTCAACCCGCATAGTCAAGATGAGCGACTTCCCAAGGATAGCATCCTCCCCCTTCGGCCCATCCTTGGCCGCGTTCGCGGGCCGCGCCCCACCCGCAAAGTGCCCACGTGGCCTTCCGAGGCCCCTGCATCCCTGTCGTGCGTCCGTACTGTGCGAGTTGGCTGCTCCATCCTCATCCTCCGACGCTCTCCGTAGCCTATGCTGGCCCGAGTCCTTGGAGCGCCGCACACCGGCCCGCTGGCGCCCCCGCGCGCGCGCGGCGGGTGCGGCGGCGGCCCCGCCGCCACCCAGGGCCGCCCCTGGCCCGGCACCTCGCGCCGTGCGGCGGCGCCACCGCCCGCCATGCTCGGGGGCGCAGTGGCAGCATCAGGGGCAACGACAGGGGGGATAGGCTCAGGGGAGGAAGAGGTACCCGTACCGGTACCCTTCCCTCGTGTTCGCGTTCCTGGGCCTCCTCGGAGGCCCTCGTCACCACCGCTGGCTTCGCCTCGAACTTCTGGTCAGAACGCACCCCAGGAGAGGTCTGGGGAGTAGCGGTATCGGCACTGGTTTCCCAAGATTTGTTCAGGGGAGGACGCATCGACGAAAACAAAGGGAGGAGGAAGACGAAGGCTGAGGAGGGGGGCGGAAATACGGGCAGTTGCTCGAACACGCGCATGGGGCAGGACAGGCTGTCCTTCGAACGAGGCCGAAATGTGCCTGGCCAGCGTCCAGGCGAACTGGGTATTCAGACAGATGCAGCCTTATAGCTGCAGCCATCCCCCATCGCCCACTCATCGCCGACAGGGGCCCGATAACCCTAGGAGGCAATTAAACCCCACCCCATTCTGTTGGAACGATAACGCATCCAGCACCCGGAAGCGTTATCTTCGCACCTTGAGGAGGAAATGAAGACAGGAGGAGGAGGACGAGGAGGAGGAGAAGGAGGAAGAGGAGGAGGAAGAGGAGAACGAGGAGGAGAAGGAGGAAGAGGAGGAGGAAGAGGAGGAGGAGGAGGAGGAGGAGGTGGAGGAAACAGCAGGGGACAGGGAGGAGGAGAACGGGGAGGAGGAGAAGGAGGAAGAGGAGGAGGAGGAGGAGGAGGAGGAGGAGTTTTGGATCCCTCTGGAGACGTGGCGGCGCCCTCGAGGCAGTGGGAACAGAAGGCGTCCTAACACGCCCCAGCGCGCGAAGGCACGGCGTTGGATTAGCAGCCAGCAGGGTTTGAGGACTCAGTGACCACGGCGTAGAAGATCGACAGGCAACCTCGGGCCGCGAGCT